TCTGAAAAAGAGACTAAGCTGAAGAAAAATGAATGAATGAATATTTTATGTGTCCTTGTAATCCTTTAATCACCCAAAGTTACTAATTTTGCCAACAATTCCTGAAGTTGTTTTTGTTATGTTTATTCACAAAAGAGTGGAGGGCTTGAAGCTTACGCTGCTATTCTGAACCAATATACAGAAACAGAACGTAGTTGAAGGATGGCGTGTTTAAATAAGTTATTAATCTGATTCCATTATAAGTAATCTGACTCCATTAAAGTTATGATTTAATTCAATTCACCTTTATTTATATAGCGCTTTTACTATGTAGATTGTGTCAAAGCAGCTTTACATAAAAGATCATAATAAATTGAAACAGTGTAGTTCATTTTTCAAAGTTTAAGTTCAATTCAGTTTAGCTCAGTTCAGTGTGGTTTAATAATCACTACTGAGAGTCCAAACACTGAAGAGCAATCTATTGATGCGCAGCTCCACAGATTCTGAACCACGCAAGCTAGTGGCGACAGCGGTGAGAAAAAAACTTCACCTATTGGCGAAAGTGAAGAAAAAACCACAATAAAGAATAAAAATACTTTAACATAAATTTAAAAAAAATCTATTTTTGTATTATAGAACTTAATAATTCATGTTTATGAGTTTCTTTAAACATTCTGTATGCTTTTAAATGATGATTTATATTTGAATATAGAAATTATTTATACAATTAATTAGCCTTTCCAATAAAAATTTTTTCATAGGTATTGCAATAAAGAAGGAGACACTTTTGTACCTTTTTATGAGAAAAATTGTGTACCTTCATTTCAATTGTACCATAAAAGGTGCAGAACAGTATCATAAGAGGTATTTTCTGTACCATATAAAGTCAAATTTTTACAAAGGTACAAAACTGAGGAAACTAAACCATGTACCTTTTTTTCTAAGAATGTAATGCAAGCTCTTCATTTTAAAATATTAGTTTTTCTTAAAATTAATTTACAACTAAAACAATATATATATATATATATATATATATATATATATATATATATATAATTAATTTGACTGCTGGACTGCTCCATGATTGGGGTGGTAGATATTGTATAATATTATTATTATTACATAACATTACATTATTATGATAATGTCATGTTTTATTGTATATTAAATACCGTTTAATGATGTAAACATTTTATTTGTTTGAGTCTCACTATACAAAATATGATGGAAAACAATATAGTTTATAGGTATAGTTTACACATAGTTTACACTTCTAGATATTTACTGTGGACCCCCAGATGTCCTGGGGCCCTAAGTGGCCGCTTGCCTCGCTTATTGGTTAAAACCACCACTGACTGCACCAGTGTGTGTGGGAGAAGTGTGGTGACTCCTGAATAATATAGGAATTAAGCTGAAAAAAAATAATTAATGAATTACATGTAAGGTTCCCAGAAGACAATTGACCTTGTGGTGAAATTCTGAAGTGCAAAAATGATGTTTTAAATCTTACACACATATACTACTCTTCTATAAGATTTAATAGCAATTAATCTATGGGACTGCAACCCTCCTAATTGTTCCAATTGTTTTCCCAACCAGTTTTTCTCTCATATCTATTGAAATGCAAATTTATGGAATTATGCGATTTATGCAAGAGCACACGAGTCTCATTGGGACTTTAAATTGTGCACTTGTAGAATCACTGAACTTTAGACAAACTTGTGCGCTAAAAAATAAGATTTTACTTTAGATTTGGCTTTCTTGTTAGTCAAATAAATAAGTATTATTAAAAACATGCATTATTTATGCATTCTCTCTGGCTAAAATCAAACACACACAAGTTGGCAACACTTTGACTTCTCTTTATTACTATTCCATATTTTTTTCTGCAAGCATTTATCATGAGTAAACATTGTTTTAGACATTAATATGCCAAACCAGACTTTAGCCATCACAAAACATGTCTTTTTGACAAAGTAACGGTTTATTAGACTGAGTATGACCTACACTTTCCAGATCTTCTTTGGATACTTTCGAAATTATGTTGCTATGCGACAGTGTACATGTGCACTGGCCGTTTGGACTAAATACATCAAACGCTGATCTGTCTATTGATTGCATGCGGGTTTGTGTTCAGGTGAGAACTCACAGGACACTTAATTCTGCATGAGAACCCTGCATCTAAGCCTCTGTCACAGCATCTGTCCAACATGACAAAACACAGGTACTGTGAATGGTATCATGTGCATCATGTCAGATCACATGCTCTTTCCTGAAACTAATCTTGATCTAATAAAAAAAGCATGGAACTTTTTTCCTCCCATGTTGGCTCTTAGTCCTTTATTTTTACCACTTCTAATCAGTTCAATTTTTTTCAGTGATTGACTCGTGATTTTCTGATAGTGTGTTGAAAGAATACTGAGATTACTGCCTAAGCCAGTGTTGGAGCCTTTTGTGCTTTGCTTGGATTTAGTGCTGACATTTTACTGGCCGTTAGAAGCACGGCAGAAAATCAGATTCAACATATTTCTGTACGAGAATGGATTATATCCAGATATCACTATGGAACTCGGGATGGATAAAACTGATATTTAAAACAGTTGCAGTCGAGACTTATTGGACAGCTTATTTGTATATGCAACAGAGGGCAGTTTGTTTGCTCCTCTGTGGACATCTTTATGAAAGCTCACAGCGTGTGACTAGATAAAGATTACATTTGATATCCAAAAGTAACACTGCAGTGTGTGTGGCCCTCATGACCCTGCAGGTTTGAGTCCTCGGTGATCCTGGACATCTGCTGAAGTTGACTATATGGTTCTGGGAAGTCAAAGGCAGAGTTTTGTCATAATGTCATGACAGTGACATAGTGTCACTTGGGGCGTCACTTGAATTTACAAACCATATGCAGTTTTAAAATCTATTTAATGATCAAATATAGATCTATAAGCACCCTGTCTCCTATCAGCTCATGCTTTATCTGTTCCTTCAGTCCCCCAGCCCAAATATGTATGGAAAACTACATTTTGTGTTTCTACTTTCTCACACGCAGATGACCTAATGCATGCGAAGGGGACTTTCCAGCATAGTTTTGTGGATGAAGCAAACTATTGGAATGTACGATGTGAACCTGATAGCACAGTCCACTTTATCAACAGCAGTCAATGCATTGTCACACATGGGCAAATGTGGGTGGATTTTGTTTAATATGATAAGGGGTGTTTTTATAAACCATGTCATCTACTTTGTTAAAAAAATAATATCTCATATATATATATATATATATATATATATATATATATATATATATATATATATATATATATATATATATATATATATATAAACATAGTATAAGATGTAGGTAAAAAGAGGCTAAACTCATTCTAGACAAATATCACTACAGAAGTTACCTGTTTTTCACTATACACTGCAATGTGAATTAACAAGAGACAAGAAGGATGAAAGTTAAGGAAAAATACTGTACATATTTGGTAGGTATATATAAGTATATAAACCTACATACTGTAGATATATAGGTTTAATTATTTACAATGTTTTACTCAAATAACAGTTTAAACAACCCAACATTTTAGAGTGCATGTATGGAGCATGTTTATGTGCTAATGTTTCAATATGTTGATAGAAAAGTAAAATTAGTGTCATAAATTTCGCTAAATAATCTTTTCTCAAACGCTTTTGGGACAGACTTTTGGTGATGCACGACTGCAATTGTTTGACATTAAAAAACAAAACAATATTTGTTTACTTTGTCTGAAAACTTTACTGATTAATATTAACCATGTTTCAGTGTTGTTTTGATAGAAACAAATGTCTAGATTAACAGGGGAGAGCAGGGACTACTGCAACACTTTTTGTATTTCCTTCAGTTTCTCCGGGACAATTTTTTTTGTGGAAAACCAAAATTTTTATATGATAAATTGACATATATTAGACACCCACCCACATTGCTAATATATGTGTAAATATGATAATTTATGCAGAATTTTAACTTGAACAGACAAAGTCAAACGTTACTGACCCTGAACAGGAGGGCGGTTGCAACAACCCATAGGAACTTTTAATAAAATGTAATATTTAAAAAATTATAAACACCAGGTTGGATTTTTATTTTTATTCTTTGGTAAACAGACTAAATGTAATTGTTAAATTGGCCATATAAATACAGACTATTAAAAGAACAACCAGGCTGAAAAAAACTGAGAAATCCAGACTGAACTTTTACTAAACTACTTCTTTGATCATTGAAATGAATGAATTATTCAAAGAATTTTTTTTATATTAAATTACATTGCAACTGTAATAAAATTTAAATCGTACATTGTGTAATGTGGAAAGGTTTTAAATGAATTTAGTAATTGGGGAAAGCTGCAACCACATGTTGCAACTGTCCAAAGTTTGTCAACCCTGATTAAACTGTTTACGCTAAGGAGATAAAATAGCTTTAACGCTAAATAGCTATGCCTATTTAAGGCTAAGAAAACAGTGATTTAAATTATACTAATGAACAATGTTTTACAAAAACAAATTAAACAGTATAAGAAATATTCTGAAAAAAAAAACCCTCTTTTTATACTACCTATGGCTGATTTCTCTCAGATTAAAGAGGGTCTAAATGAAAATAGTATGAATATCATCACTCTAGCTCATTCCTACATGACGGAATAAGTCCTGTTGCAACTTCCCCATGTTGCAACCGTCCCTACTCTGCCATATAAGCCCTATACAGCATTTTGTAATTTCAAAGAGTTTCTAATTTTTTTTTATTTAATACAAGTTTATAAATGCCGTAAAAGCACAGTAAAACATCGTATTCGTTCTAAACGTAGATTTTTACCCCGCGCATCACTCATAAATAAAACTTTGCTAAGATAATATTTGGGATAAAAAAAAACACTAAAAAAGACACTATCAGTACATACAGTACAGTAGGTGGCGATATGAGCTTCCAAAGCTTGGATGACTTTAAACATCAAGAGAAGTAGTCCTGTAGAAAGCGAATCAGTCGCTCCGTTGGTTTGATGGTACCTGTCCTAGGAAGATTACCAGTAAATGTCATTTCATCTGTTCTTACAAACATTCTCCGCTCACAAAAACTCAAAAGAATATCATCTGTCGGTAAGACTTGCAATAAAATCATAAACCATATCAAAGTGCTGATCTTTGTCTGTAAAGTCGGAGGTTAATCTAATGAATGAACGTTATATGGCTGTGTAAACGTTAGATTATTTCAAAGACCTTCACATATTAGACATATCGGTAAGAAATTATACAATGACATGGTCTTATTTAACATAGCAGAAAGTTGTCAGTGATGGCTAATTGCAAATATTTCATTACGCTACTTTTGACTTCTATTCTATTCTATTCTATTCTATTCTATTCTATTCTATTCTATTCTATTCTATTCTTTGTGCTGTTTCTGTCTCGTTATTGAGTCACTGTGACATTTAGTTTAAGCTGAACACGATAACGTAATCTCAATGTGCAGTGTGTGTTGCAACCTGTCATTCTGTCAGAGGTTAATTTACACGTCAGAACTGCCATGGCAAGCCGTTTTGTCTTGTCTACTTTATTTTCAGGATATTTATTCCTGATTTCAGCAATCTATTATTAGTTATTGGAAATACCTAGAACAAATAAATTTACCTGAAAAAAATGAGCAATTGAATTGATTTCATCAAATGAGTTTGAATGGTAACCTAAAGTGATATTCAATGAAAATACAATTATATATATATATATATATATATATATATATATATATATATATATATATATATATATATATATATATATATATACACACACACATACATATATATATATATATATATATATATATATATATTTTTTTTTTTTTTTTTTTTTTTTCTACCTAGTTGAAATTTAATCCCTGATAATATGAGTTCAATTTCTGTGATAAATAACGTCATTATTAATATTAAGAATTTGCATTTTCGCTATTGGAGCTATTCATATCAAGTATTAACATTTCATCTATTGGATATTGAATTGTTGACATCAATTAATTTATATTCTGCAAATGAAACAAAACAGCTTGCCATAGCCTTCCTGGCTTTCTATGGCCTTTGCTCCAGTGATAGATTGTCTGTTTAAAAGGAATAGGACAAGTGTTTTTTTTAGCTTTATTTTAAGCCCTAGTGTACAAAAGTGTGCGCTATGAATTAATAAGCTTTAACCATAACATCATATGTGATCATAACTCATACAGACTAATTCCCCATATTCGGTTGTCTTTTACTGTAGGCTCTGTTAAAACGGCAAATATCATTAGATTAAGTGACTATTCTGTAATCTACACTGTAAAAAATCCTGGTTACCGATCCATTGAACTTATATTGTGTTGAACTGACTTAAAACAGCTTGCGTAACTTATAAAATTAAGATAGAACATGATTAACTTAATTTAATTAGTTACAGTGACTAACTGATCATATACATTTTTACAGTGTATCAATCATCATATTTAGTAACCATATTACTAGGTTATGCAGTTGCAAAACCATCCACTTTAAACAAATTAAGAGGACCTATTAAGCAAAAATCACTTTTATAAGGGGTTTAAGCACAGCTCTGTGGCAACAATCTGTCAATATAACCAGCTTCCAATGCTAAAAAATTGTACATTTTATTCTTTAAAATCACACTTGGTAAAAACATTCTGCAGAAACACTTTGATTGAGATTTTCCTTTTGTACACATCATCAGAGGGTGAAAGCCCCGCCCATTAGTGAAGATCTCTCCCTCATTGGCATAGAAAGTTTATTGTTTTTGAATCACTGACACATACATTTGTAGCTCCGCCTTCTTCTGAAAATAATGCAATCTCATTTAAATTTAAAGAGACAGTCACCAAAATGGCACAATTATGATTAAAACCTAAAAGGGGCAGTTTCAAAGAGCAATAAAACATCATTTGTGTCGTTGAGCTGAAACTTAACATGTAAACTCTAGGGACATCAGACATGTATTTTGCATCTTGTAAAAAGGGGCATAATAGGTCCCCTTTAATATTTTTGGTTTACTGTATATAATAATATCAGTCACTGTTATCTTAGGCCAAGAACTGTGTGGAGCTGATTCGGTTGATGTGATGAACAGCTCAGGATCGGAAGGGCCTGGAGAAGATGCCTCTGTGGAGTTTGTCTACTGCAGAGGGGTAGTCACAGAGCTGCTCAAATATGGACCAAAAGACCTGCATACCGCCAGCAAAGGCCCAAACTCTCCCAAAACACTCATTCTTGTCATTCCAGGTAAGATGTGTCTTTTTTCACCTTGCATTAGAATGTCAGAATTATTAGCCCCTCTGTTTATTTTTCCCCGTTTTCTGTTTAACAGAGATTTTTTTTAACACATTTCTAAACATAATAGTTTTAATAACTCATTTCTAATAGCTGTTTTATTTTATCTTTGCCGTAATGACAGTAAATAATATTTTACTAGATATTTTTCAAGACACTTCTATACAGCTTTAAGTAACATTTAAAGGCTTAACTAGGTTAATTAGGTTAACTGGGCAGGTTAGGCAAGTTATTGTGTAATGATGGTTTGTTCTGTAGATTATCAAAAAAAAAAAAAAATTGCCCTAAAGGTGAATTTCTAACTTAAATAAAACAAATAAGACTTTCTCCAGAAGAAAAAAAATATTATCAGACATACTGTGAAAATTTCTTTGATCTGTTAAACATATTTTAGGCAATATTTAAAAAAGATAAAAATATTCAAAGGGGGGCTAATAATTCTGATTTCAACTGTATATAGTTTACTTAGTTTAGGCTTTTAATTGCATAGTTAAGCTCCACAATATCGTGCTCGGGGTCAGGTTATGTTCAGGACCAATCAGCTGTTAGTAAAAAGACACGTCTCTGACACAATAAAGCCACTGCCCCACAGTGATTACAGGGTGTTTTGATTTGAAATTATTAGGATTTATATTAGGAATTTCACATTTTTTCATTTCTTTTTTTACCATTTGTTGTAATGTGTGAAGTGTTTATATTTATTATAATAAAACGGGAAACTAGTGAGGTAAATGCACTATACTATTCATACTGTGTAGGAGAGTACAATAATTCTCATGCGGTTTCTCTAATGACAACAATCAAAATAATTAATCATGGTTCAAGTGTGAAAACTAATTGATTAAATAATTGTTTAATGATTGATTTCGGCTGTACCTTGACTAAAGTTTTAGTGTAGTAAAACTAGTCTAAAATACTAAGCTAAAATGCAGCTAAACCAAAAACAAGGCAAGTTGAATGAATAGGATTTAAAGAAAATGGCTATATATATATATACAGGGCTTGACATTAACTTTTTTGATCACCAGCCACTGTGGCTAGTAGATTTCCAACATTACTAGCCATTTGCCATTTTCACTAGCCACACTTTTCTTGTTGGGAAATATATTTTATATGCATAATTTGACTTTGACATGCTAAAATTACTTGATTTAGATATTGTGTTAAGTCCACATGCCTTCTCTTTCATTTAACTTCTTGTGTGCATTATGTATTAGCTTGCTCAGTGTGTACGAGCAAAAGGGTTGTGTCGCAATACAATTAGTTTTTATTTCACCACTTTTCAGGGCTCAAAATTAAGGATTCCCCAAATTTATCTCCGACCACACCAAATAAGTATTTCTTAGCCACAAATTTTTAATGTGTCAAAACAAGGAAAATATAGCTTTATAGGTTCACTTTTTAATTCAACAAACCTTTTCTTTAAAAAACATTACATTTAAAAAATAATTATTGTCATAAATCTAAAATATGCACACTAATCTGTCCTGGCTAAAAGTCCCAGATCAGCAGTTAACTACACATAAACAGGGAGTAATCTCCCATTAAAGCAAACTTATTGTAAACAAAATATAATTAAATTATATTTACAAAAATAACTGTAAGCAAAAGAAACCAGGTGAAACATACAGTGTTTGATAATGAGAGGATGTTCATGTGCACAAGGTTAATTTAGGCCTTTTAGTAATCTGTTCAAAGAAAAAATTTAAATGAAAGCAGTGACCGCTGCTGCTTACAAAAGAATGTGTATTTTTTTTATCTTGAGCTCTTGAAAGCAGCAGGACTGTCTATGGGTGAATGATCATCGCTCTTCGTCTAGTCTATTTCAGATCGCACCAGTTGCGCTTCTTCTAGGCACGGTTGCTTTGCATAAGTAAACGGGAGCGTGCACGTTTTTTAACAGTCGTGCGCATTGCATCACATCACTTATGCGCGCGAGTGATCATCCTCTCGTTCGGTATTTACCTTCTTTTTTGCTGTTTTGCTCGTGCGAACACATTTATTTTTGTCAGTCGTGCTGCTTCTCGATTCTAAGATCACATTTGCACGAATATTGGGCCACGCTTATTGTCGAACCCTGCTTTTAAGAAAACTACTGTACACATTGTAGCAGATTTCCAACCAGCCAAAGTGGCTAGTGGAGTGTCTGTCTAACCCGCCAGAGCTGAAATCTACCCGTATTTGATGGGTTGGTGCGTGTTAATGTAAAGCCCTGTATATATATTCATTTATTTGTTTAGTTTTTTTTTTAATAATGGGGAAAAAAAACAGATTTTATTGTTTGATTACTATATTTCCGGCAGCTAGCTCTCTGCTACTCTCACATGGTCACCTACTAAAGCTAAGCAGGGCTGGGACTATATGACTACATGAGAAAGCTAGATAGCTACCAGAAGTGGTGTTACTGAGATCAGCAGGGGATGCTCAACCTGTGGTCTGTGTGGGTCCTAACGCCCCAGTATATTGATGGGGAATCTATATTACTCAGTGAGTACGAGTCTCAATAAGACATTAAACCAAGGTCCTGACTCTCTGTGGTTGTTAAACATATGAGTATGTCCTTTGAGAAAGAGTAGGGGTTTAACCTGGGCTCTGTCCATCCTTATAACATAACTGGCCTCATCACTCTGCCTTCTCTCCACCAATCAGCTGGTGTGCGGTCTGGTGCATTATGGCTGCTGACGTGTCATCCAGGTGGATGCTGCACACTGGGTGTGGATGAGAAGATTTCCCCCAAAAGTGTGTAAAACACTTTGAGCATCCAGAAAAAAGCGCTATATAAATGTAAGGAATTTTACTTAAGCTAATGGGGGAGTGTTTCTGGTTCAGAAATTCTGCAAAAAAATTTTTTTATATAAAAATCCCACATTCACCCGTCAAAATAGTATTATATTATATTATATTATATTATATTATATTATATTATATTATATTATATTATATTATATTATATTATATTATATTATATTATATTATTATAATTTTTTATTGTATTTAAATTTTTAGCTTGAGGCAGGCTGAAATATCTGACTCTTGCCAACATAATGTACACAGAATGTTTTACAGTTTGCTTTGAAGTTTCATTTTATGATTTAGAAATTTTTTAAAGTCAGTGATATTTACATGAACTTTAAGCCTTTTATGGGTTTTGCTTAGCTTCAGAGTCTATGACCTCACTTCCACAATTAAGAACAAGCACCAAATAAACCTGTCTTGGGGCAAAATATCCCAGACTGAGCTGTGTTCAGTTTTTGTTGCCAATACATAAATAAACATAGCTAGCACTGATTGGTACACAGGTGTGTGAGTGCGTCACAGCTATCTTAAGCACTGGACATAACACAGTCCATCCAGCAGATGCAGGGGTTATGAAGAAAAAGCTCATGGTCGGAAATCTACTATTTTTTTTACACTTGGCTCAGGGTCAACTAGAAAACCCCAGTGGAAAATGGCTGTATGGGCCACCACTCTTCCCCTGACAGCAGCTTCTAGCGCATTGACTTCATGGAAAAGTTATGTAGACCAGGAGCAGATGTTAAGCACTAAAAATACTGTTCAGATTATTACACCTAGTCAGAAAGACCTGACACTTTTTTATTGGTTCATTCTTAGTTTAAATTCAGTGGCTAGATGTGTTTGGTATAATGTGGCTGAAGATATATTGTGTCATATGTTATGTCAAGATTTCATATAAAAACTTAAGCATTTTCCACAGATATGATAGTTTATTATAAAGACAGATTGCAGTCATTTAGCTGAAAGTCATCAGCTTCAGGCATTCATCATGTATTTACAATTATCGAATAGATCACACAGGTTCACTTTAATTGTCCTCTCAAACCAATTTAGCAATTAGTGAAACGTCTCTTGTTATGGCATCAGATCTCAGAGTTGCAAACCCTCATCTCTTAATGCCCCTTTGTGTATCTCCAAATAAAGAAAGGCAGTTTTAGTCATCTCTTTGTTTTCACACTTGAACGTTTTACTATACGTTTTAAAAGTAAAATGTTTTCAGAAAAATGTTCTTGTGCCCACCTGCATATATTTGGTGTAAAATACAGTAAAAGGTTTTTATTGCGCCAAAGACTTTCACAGAAGATTTCAATCTCTATATTTAGATTTATATTTCCTCACTTCTATATATTTAGAATTAGTAGAAACCGTTTTGATGTTGATTGCAGTATCATTGTAACATTATATATTATATAAAAATTGTAGTTATTATAAAGTATTTTTTATGTGTCCTATTTTTGCATACTATATTTCTAATATTTTTTTTAATCAGTGTCACATGACCCTTCAGAATTTGAATCATTTGAATATTATGAATTGGTGTGCTAGAATAAAAAAAAATAGCTTGAATTTAAATATTTGAACTTGAATTATTTTAGATTTTTATATATTTTTATTTATTTATTTATTTAATTTTTTATTTTATTTATTTATTATAAACAATAAATACATAAAAATATACAAAATTCAAGCAGCTGTTTTCAATATTGACATATATATCTTTTCGAAATATTTTAGGAATCTATTTATGAAAAGAACAGCATTTATTTAAAATGGAAATCTTATAAACATTATACACGTTTTTTTTACGATCACTTTAGATCAGTTAACATATCCCTGCTAAATAAAAGTGTATTGTGTTTTGATGAAACAATTAAATACATTAACCACAAATTTTCCTGACGTAATCTGTTAGAAAAAAAGAACTAAACAGCAGATGTCCTGGAGAGAGAGAGCACGGTCAAGCTGATGACCTTAAAGAGGGGCGGCTTTTCACCGGGCTCTGAATGTCACTGAGCATTGTGCTCAATAGACTCTTTATGGGAAACGGAGAGCCCATACGCCGGCACTGTTATTGTAGAACCTGTGCCCTTTTCTTCAGAGATAACGACAATAATCTCTGCAGTCTGGCCAGAGGCTCCCTTGGCTCTTATATCCGC